ACCATCACGATTGATGAGCTTAGATGTCTAACCTTCTTCAAGTTGAGTTCTAAAAAGCGGTGTAGGTTACCTGATACTGAAAATTAAAGAAATAAAACTGAAAGATTTAACTTTAAATCAATATTTTATAATCGTATATATGAAGACCGAGATGTGGTTGCTTTTGTGAGTTCGCAGTCTCCTTTCATTGTATAGAAGTTGTTTGACCTTGTTTTTGCAACTTGGTCATATTGGTAGGAAGAACTGGATGAACGCACCTAGTCCGTAGTCCAGTGTCTGCATGATCATTTCCGAAGTCGGACCATGAACAATCTACAATCCAGGACGTTCGGCCGGCATCGTCACTGAGTCTTGCCATTCTTAGCACCAAAGTACAACTCGTCAAAGAGATAAGTAAAACCGATCCTTTGACCAAATGTATGCTAAACAGTTGTCATGACATGGGATATTCTGTAATGGGATATTCTTCTGTCCTATATCCTCGTATCAGGCCTTTACTCTCACTATCTGTGCTCAACGAGGGGTTATTTCTCACAGTCTGCGTTTCCTAGACTACATTGAGGCTAAAGACCCCAAGTAATTATCATGGTCAAAGCTTTACTTCACTGACCACGCCGATGGTAAAACAGGCCTACTGTTAGCCTACTAGCTCTAGTTTCCGCCATATCTATCCTGTTTCTATCCCTAATATCAAGTCTATGACTTTATATGCCTTAGTCTTTGTGTGCTAACCCACAAATGTTGTGGTACTGCTAGCTTTGATTAGGTTCAATGTTGAATCAAAACGTTTGTGAGTTAGCACACTAGAGACTATAACATAGCAAGTCATAGACTTGGTATTAGGAATAGAAACAGGATAGACACGGCGGAGACCGGAGCTAGCTAGCTGACAGTAAGCCTGTTTTACCACAGACGTGGTCCACGATACAAAGGTTTAAACATGATAATTTCTCAGGGTTTTTAGCCTCAAGTTAGGCTAACAGATGCAGAGTGTGGGAAATAATGCCCTGTGGAGCACAGATGGGGGCGCAGGGGTCGAGTGAAATACTTGAACCAGGGAGAGAGCAGACGGATCCTACAGGGCAAGATAAGAATCATAAGACCTAGGGAAGAAGGACTGCGTAACAATAGGGCAGCACAAGGGTAAAGCTGGATGAGAACGCCGACGTGAAGTGTAGAGTGTGGAGGGTTCTCATGAAAGCCGCTCGAAAGGGCACACCACACTACATTTAAATAAGCAAGGAAATAATTTTTATAGTGAAGGCGTGATACGAGGTGAATAGCCCAGGGCAGAAGAGGAGATACCACAACTGTTTAGCACACGTTTGGTGCAAAGAATGGCGATACTCATTGACGATGCTGACTACAATGCCGAAATAACATCTGGGAATGTACCACGTCCACGGACTGACCTTGGAAATTATTATGCATACAAGTGCTTGCAGACTAGGTGCGCTCCTCTAAGTCTTCATACCAATATGACAAAGTTTTGAAAACATTATCAAACAACTTCAATATTTTATTATATTTATCTACTTCCAGTTATATAATAATATTACTTTCCATTTAAATGTATTAAACCTTAACATTTAATGCAGCCAAAAGCATTCTTTCTAACTTTAGGTGCGCTTAGCCCAGTGATAAGCATTATAGACGAAGTAGAAAATTTTTAACAGGCAGCTACTTCTCTTTTTTAACACGGCAAGCTCAACTTTGAATGTTTCAGATATTTGCGAGCTAATGGGAAAACAGTGTTTCTAAAGGGCTGGCTATTTGTTTATGCCAAAAGAAAGTAGAAAATGTATTGGAATAAATTTATTTTATCGGTAATGTCTATTTAGAAAAAAACGATGGTGATAAAAATTAATTTATCTGTCCTAAAATCTGTGCCTTAACTATAAGAGGACCATGAATCTTGAGAATGTCTGGCAATCTAGCTTTCCTCTGAAATTTAAAATAATTAAAATTGCATCAGGCTTCCTTTCATAAATCTTTATGTCTATAAATAATAAGTCCCTTAAATCCTCTCCCATAATCTATTTAACAAATATTCATTTAAAAGGAGGTTTGCACTTTTATATTTGATTGTAAATGTTGAAAATATTTGACAATCTGTCTTCATTTACATCCTATTGTTCATTGAGGAAGGTTTTATTAGTGAATACAAACAATTTTCTGAATAAAGATAATTATATTATAGAGGTAAGATGCGTTAATCTCAAAAGTGTAACGAAATCAAATTGAATATCCTTTAATAATATGGGACCTAAGAGCTATTCACAAATTTAAATAAAATGGACTCATTTCCTAACTTTTGCTAAAATTTTTCAACTTAAAATAATCAT